AAAAAAAAACGAAAGTGTACACAAGAGCACGTTTTCACACGTTTTTTTTTTTTTATCGGGGTGTGTGCGGGATAAACAACAAACAACAGCAACACGTCCCCACATATACACATATATGTGTGTGTGGGGTGTGGGCAGATAGGGCGAGATGCAAGCGGAACGTGGAGCACGGTGCGGTTTGGCGGCGTGCTACTATCTATTCCCCCTCTCCCTTTCTTCCTCCGCTCTGTCACTCTTTTTTCTTTTTCTTTTTTGCTGCACCTCTTCGTGTGCACCATGATGCCACAATCACGCTTTAAAAGCACCCCAATTACTCAGTCAATCAACCAAAGGATCACGTGATGTACACACTCATACATGTATAGAGCAATGCGCGTCTGCATTTACACCTATATGATCCCCACGTAAATGTGCGAGGGGTTGCGTGGTGATGGCAAAGATTGTCTTTGTCCCTTACCTCTCTTCCTTAATGTTGCGGTGCTTCACACGCCCACATCATTTTGATCTTCCTTTCACTTACTTCTTTTTTTTTTCTTTTGCCTTTCCGTGTTCACTTTCACCCAGTGCTATTACGTCTGATTCTTTTTGTTTCTCTTCTTGGCTTGCTTTGTTGTGGGCTCACGTGTGGTTTGCTCACCTCCCCCCCTCCTCCCCCCGGTGGTGGGCGCCCATTCTCCAGGCGCCAGGCCGTGACCGGCGGGAAGTGGGGGCGGCGCGTGGGCTCTGCTGGTGCGTTACGTGCGCCTCGTGCTTCTGTATATCTCTCTCTCTCTCTCTCTGTGTATGTGTATGTGTGTATGCACTGGCCATTGTACGGTTTACATTTCTTCCCGTTCGCTTACTGTTCCGTTGCCTTTTTTTAAATTTATTTCGGTGCTTCTTTCTTTCTTTTTATCTTGTGTGGTTTTTTTTTTTTGTGTTTTAGTTGTTGTTGTCTGTCTGTCTGTCTGTGTGTGTGTGTCTTTGCTCCACAGTGACGCCCCCCTCCGCGCTCTCCACTCCCTCCCGGTGTCGCCACACACACACGCGACCAAAGGAGAGGAGAAATCACGACGGGAGTGACTCTCTCTCTCTCTTTCTCCCACACACACAAAAACAAAAAAGACAAAAACGAAACAAAGAAAAAAAAATAAGACGGAAACAGAGTTGCAGAAGTAACAACAACATCATCATCAAGAGCGAAGCGTGTGGGGGGAAAAAAAATCGCGTGGTGCAGATGCGGCGTTAGCCTTTTTGGTTCGTTATTTGATTTATCTGTGAATAAAGAGTTGAAGAGGAGTGGGAGAAGTGCAAGTGTGAGTATGATGTGCCGTGGGGTAAGTCCTCTGCAGACTTCGGTGGATGAATGGGCTTCACTCGCAGCTCTCAACCACAGAGGTTCTATCTTTATATATGTATATTTGCGTATGTGTATGAATATGCAGACCGATGCGCTCTTGTGCTTAATTCTGTGACACATGCGAGGCGTGCGTCTACATTCTCTTTCTTCACTGTGTGTGTATGACTGTATATATATATATATATATATATATATGTTTCTCTGACTTCGAGAGTGTTGCCAAACAGATAAGAGTAGTACGATAAAAAAAAAATCAACAACAGCACAACAAAAGCTATCGAAGTCTCAAGAGTTTCACGTCTGTAGGCAAAGTGTGCTTATTTTTGTTTTGTGTCTGACACTTGTGCTACCTCTTTCTATCGTGCCCCCCCCCATCGTTTCTGTTTCTATTTCTGTGTGTGTGTGTGTGTGTGTGACACTTGTATCAGCGCTCCCCCTTGTTTCTCGTCTCTCTCTCCCTCTTCTCTTCCTGCCAGGAGTTCCACGTGGAAGACCCGAGTAAAGCTGGCCAATAACGGACGAGGATCCTCCAGGGAAGGATCGATTTCCCCTCCGCCTCGTACCCACAACGGAAATGTGATCACCGACGGCTCTGAGGACGACAAGGACTCAGGAGATGACGCAGGCGGTGATGGAAGTAGTAGTAGTGGTGGTTGTAGCGGAAGACACCCCTTACACAATTCAATCACTATGAACGACGGCAGCAGCGGCAACGACAAGAGCGTCGTTGTTGGTGTTGGAGCACTCGATCCAGAGGAACTGGCGCGTGCGACGGCGGTGCTCATGAGCTTCCGGCCAAAGCAGATCCTGTCCGCCGACCAGTTCAGCAGCGACCACACCAGCGACGTTGTGGGCGGAAACAGTGAGTTCGCTTCACAGCTGCACCGCCTGCCGTCGCTGTCGGGGCCACCAAGCACGTCCTCTGCAAAGTCCCGCCTCGCAGCCGCCGCTGATGCGCGGCCGCTGCCACTCCCCACCGTCGAGTTGCACCCAGAGCAGGTTGCCTTCCTTACCTCCGTCGGCGAGGTTGCGAAGCGGCTCGCGCTGCGGAACAGGCCGTGCGATGGTGGTGGCGAGGCGGGCGACGCAGATCACGACTGCGATGTGGAGTCGCCGCTGCTGTGGCAAGAAACAAAGCTGTCGATTGACACACTTGTGCGGACAGAGGGGCAGCGCGTGCGGCTGCGCTTTGTTCACGCCTGCCCAACCCGCCGTCCAAGAGCCCACGAAACAACAACAACATCAGCAGCAGTGGCAGGAACATCAGCAGTGAATGACGATGATGACAGCAATCGGGCACCACTGGTGCGGCGTGATGCGGCCCTAAGTCTCTGCACGATCCTCGCCTCCTTCGCGCCACCCAAGGCGTCGTACTGGCAAGATGACCGTATTGTAGAGCCATACCTCGGCGAGTCCTACGGCCCATCGCCGCACCGCCAGCGTCGTGGAAGGGGTGAAGACAGCGGTGACATCGAGCGGGACGAGGACTTCGGCGCTGTGGATGATGACAGCTGGCGCGAGGAAGTAAACTACACGGCTGATGCCAACGGCGACAGCGATGGGTTTGACGAGATGAGTGGTGTCATCAACCAACGTTGCCGCGATGACAGTGCGATGCGGTCCTACGCCAAGGTGCTCGCGCACCACCGCTGCAGGAATGATCCCGTCTTCTACAACGCCTTTTTTCTCGACACAGGCAACATCACCGATGGGGAGCGCCGTAAGAAACTCATTGTGCTGCCCTCCTACCGCGCGTCTGTCATCTCCTTCGTCGACAAGAAGGTGCTGAAGAAGGACATCAACAACGATTTCTATGTGCAACACCCGGAGCTCGAGATACGCGAGATCAAGCTCACCCACGTGCGGGCAATACGCGCCGACCTACTGAACTTTGCGCTGGAGGAGAACTCCCCGATCGAGGTGGTCACCGTCGCGTACGCCAACTGGTACTTCGAGCGGCTCATCATGCGCGGCATGGTTGGCAAGCGCAACCGCCGGCTCGCTCTCGCTGCCTGCGTGCTGCTCGCGATCAAGTTCGTGGAGACAGGTGATATTCACAAGAAGATCCACTACGCCAAGACGCGCTTCCGGCAGGACGAGGCCTTCGCCGGCGTGACATGGCAGAAGGTGCAGGCGTGGGAGTTCCGCGCGTACGTCGGGCTCGACTTCACGCTGATGCCGGAGAGCGGCAACAAGGTCGTCGAGACGCACATGGAGCGGCTGCTGGGGCAGATCAACGTCACGTTGCAGGAGTACTACAGTAAGAAATTCGCACTGCCGTAGTAGGGGGG